TGCGGGGCTCGGGACCGGGGCTGCCCGGGGCTTCGTGAGCCCCCTGGGCGCGGGCCGGGCGTCGGGGGAGCAGTTACAGTCGCCCCGGCCGGCGCCTCTCGCCTCCTGCGCTCCGCCGCAGCTGCCCGACCGGCCCGGGAACGCCGGGCAGGAGGAGTTGGAGGAGGACGATGCCTTTTCCAGCGTGCAGGTGCCGGCGGCCGCCTTTCTGGGCTCCGGGACCCCCGCGAGTGGGAGCGGCAGTCGGGGTCGCCTCAACTCGTTCACTCAGGGAATCCTGCCCATCGCCTTCTCCAGGCAGACTTCGCAGAACTACTGCTCCCTGGAGCAGCCGGGCCAGGGGGCCAGCACCAGCGCCTTGGAACAGTTGCAGAGGTCCCGGTGAGTATGCAGGACGCGACGCGCGCCTAACCCCCACGTCCCTCCAGGCCGGCTCTTGGCTGCGGGACACTGGTCGCTCCCACCTTCCGGCGCCTTGCCGGATCCCTGGGCTTCTGGCCCAAATCCCAAAGCACGAGGGCACGCGAAAGAGGGAGAGTCCCCAGGGAGTGTGTGTTCTCAGGTGCGCGCGTGAGCCCGGCACTCGCAGAGCAGAAGCATCACGCTCATGCTGTGAGTCCGGAGTTGGGAGTTGCGGGAGCCCATTAAAAAGCCGCTCCCAGACCTCCCATTGCAAGGAGGACATCACGAACTTCTAGAAACCCCGTCCAGACCCAGAGGCGCGCTCTCCCCACGCCAGGCAAGACTTGGCGGGGCGCAAAGTCCAGCGGTGGGTCCGGCTGGTGGCTGAGTGGCGCGTGTGAGCCTGAGCTTCTTGAAGACGCGCGGTGAATCCCTCCTGAGAGGAGTTATTGCCTGCACTCAAAGTAGTCCCGTGTCCCAGGAAAACTTGGTGTTTTCCTTTTGCTTTCCTAAGAAATGGAAAATCCTTACATTTCCTTGCACCGGGTCTTGGAGTTTGGGGACAGGGAGGAAATAGGGCTTGAGGATTTTTTTTCTCCAAGATGAATTTGCTAGAGTTAGTTACAAGCTTGTATTTGCCAGCTTAAGTCATCTGCAGGTTTTAGGCATCTTAGCAAAAATCTGAAATGTTGGAAACTTGCTTATTGTGAAGGAAAAAGCTGGAGTTTGTCAACATATGTTCAGAGGAGAGTTGGGAATTAGGACTGTGTCGGCAGTGGGACAAGAGTTTGGAGAAGAACCTGCCTGGGAGCCGTGGAGAAATGGAGGCCTGTTTCCTGGGAGGGAGTATCCTCCCTTGTTAGCTAATGAGGTCCCCTATGAAGTTATAGCAGGGGCTCCAGGTTGGCTCAGTTATTTTAACCTCTGGGGGCCCCGATTTCCCCTTTTAAAATGGAAACATTTTGCAGGCCTCAAGATGAGAGAGGAGAACATTTTCTGTCACAGCCTCTCTCCTGTACTGCTCTTTTGAAAGCTCAGGCATTTTTTTTCTGGCCTAAGTAAGAAGGTGGGCTATTGGAAAACTTCACTTCCTCCCCCAACGGACAGATGGGGAAAAACAAGCCAGGCTCATCCAGAAATTTGCTCCTTCTTCCCCAAAGGGTGAAATCATGACCCTCCCTAGGTGTGTAGCCTCACGGTGTTGATTGTGCATGGGCTGCAGGGAGGGATGTGGAACAGGGAGGCAGTCTTGTGATTGCATGGATGAATTAGCGATGCTGGGCACAGGTGACCGCCTGGCCCTGGCATTTCTTGTCTGAGCACGCATCTCCCCATCAGCGGGCAAGTGCACAGGAGGGGAATCCCTTCCTTTCTGGGCGATTGGTGCATACTCAGCAGTTTCTGGGCAGCTCGCTGTTACCGCTTGACATCACACACTGGCTCATAATGACACTATAGTTTGAGCATTAGCCCAGCCAGGCCAGAGGGTCATGACAGGAATTGTGATACACGTACATGTTATTCTAAGCCAGTGTGCAAGGCTGGCCTATGTCTCACGGTAGACAGATGTGTTCCTGTGCTAAAAGCAGCTGGGGGTCAGATTACCCCACACTTTTTCTCCAAGAATCTCATTTCAGGGGATATGGAAAATCTTCTGTGTTACTATCTCTTTCTTTCTTTCTTTTCTTTTAAGATTTTAAGTCCTCTCTACACCCAACACGGTGCTGGAACTTAGAACCCTGAGATCAAGAGTTGCATGGTCCACCAACTGAGCCAGCCAGGCGCCCCTGTGTTAGTATTTCTGATCCAAAGAATAGCTACAGTTTAATCTCCAGTCCCGTAAATATGAACCCCCTTGGATGTTTTATGGCTCCCCACCCCCCAGCATGCACGTTAGGATGAGTCAGTCAATAGAAGATGCTTCCTGACAGTCACATTCGTCTTACTACTAGTGATTATCCATATCTGGCAACTTGATAGAGGCATTTTTTTTTTATTATTATAGCTGTCAACAGAAACAGCATGAAATTTAATGTACAGAGAGGAGGTAAATGGGTAAAAAGGGATTTAAAAAGGCCTTGAAGAGCCTAGCTTGGCCACAGCTGTTGGAGCGGTCATGAACTTGAAATACTCTAGGATGCTTTGTTTCTGACACCACACTGCTTTCGAGAATTTTGTCAGAAGAGTGCTGCTTTTATGACCAGTAACGAGTACTTTTACCTGCGTAAACCGTGTGATGTAGAGTACAAACTCATTTAAATAGGGCCCAGGGGCAATTTACGAAAACGCCATTGGCTTTCCCTGGTGTGCCTCCCTTTAAGAAACCCCGCTAGCCAGAGTGGTTCCATATACTACTTCATGGGTGTTCTCTTGGGATGTCCTTTTTAAATCAAATTATACCTTCCTTGGATGTGTCTCTTACTATTTAAGGAATTCCATAGAACCTTGCTGCTCAAAAGTGTGGGCTCTGGGAACTTGAGCTTTACCAGAGTTCTTAGAAATGAACACTCTCCGGTCCCACTCCAGATTGAGTGCAAATCCGCATTTTAACAAGATCCCCTGGTGATTCATACACAAATGAAAGTTTGGAAGGCATTGCCATAGTTAACCTGAAATCTGCCTTTATAATGAACTTGAGATATCCTATATTGGGTTTGTTACGAATATATAAAAATCAGAATTTCTCAATCTGAAACCGTGAAACGCTTTCTTGTGTGTCATTTCCGTCTGGACACTTGTAAAACCAATCGCAGACATTGCTCGGACTTGCAGACTTTGAAATAACGACAGAGGAAAATTTCTGTGCCCAGGCCCAGGCACCATTTCTGTGCCCAGGGCTGGACATTTGACCTATATTTCGTTGAATCTGCACAGCCACCCTGTGTGTAGGTAGGTGGTTTCACAGACCGGTGTTGGCCCAGATGGGAACCCGGATCTTTGACATCCCCCAAGGCTGCCATCTTTTCTTCCGTCCCTCAGCTATGTGCTTGTGCCTTGCATGTGGTAGGCCCTAGAACAATTTTGGAGCTGTGGACTGGAAATGTTTGTCTGGGATGCAGCAGGCCGGTCATACTGGTGTGATTCTCTACTCTTGAGTCATCCCCCCCTCCCCCCATTTAACCTTTGTTTGGGCCCTCGGCTGCTTCTGCTCACGTCTCCATTGGAGCCTCTGGGGAACCCAGTCCTGTGGGCCTGGGCATCTTCCCAGCCTGATGGACAGGGCTCCGGCCCTGGGAAGCCAGCATGCTGGGGTTTGCTCTCTGGCTAGGTGTCAGAGGTGGGAAGCCAAGAAGATGCCTTCAAGCTTGACACCTTGCTGTGTGCCGTGCTTGGGCGGGGCCAGCTGCGTGCCGAAGGTCTTAATAGGTGAAAGGGAGTGTAAATATATAAGGTGTGTTTTAAGGCTTCCTTTCACTTTAAAAATTTCATCCCCGGCAGCAGGGGCAGTTGCCCTGGGCCGCTCCACTTCCTTGAGCTTCTGAGTCGTAGGCAGCCACCCAGAAGCACAGAGTCAAGCCCGGGTGAACCAGTGTGAGCCGTCAGGCCTGACTGAGGACCCTGCACGGTGACCAGGGAATTAATTAACAAAACAAAACAAAACACAACACGACGGCTTTGCTTCTTAGAGCACCTGCGTTAGCATTGTGCCTTATGGATGGAGAGTTAGTTCGTACATGGAAAGAGGGCCCATGGGTGCAAAAGAACTCCCAAGTCTTGGATTCAAATCCTGCAGCCACTGCGGGACCCTGGGCAAGTCAATCAGCCTTTCTGGGTCTGATTCCTCTAGGAAGCCGGGGCCTGTGTCAAGTGTGAATTGGGCTTATGTAATTGAGGGCTGAGGGCTGCCTCTGCGTGGGCGTGTTCCAAGTGCTTTATATCCGGGCTTCTCAAATGTAAATATCTTTAGAATCCCCTAGACCTTGAAAGAATGGGAAAATTCTGATCATGCAGGTCTGGGAGAGTCTGGAATCTGCATTTCTAACAGCTACAGCGGGATACAAATGGGCAGCCTTTTGAGAAGGAAGGCTTTACTGGCTACTGTGATTGTTCTGAGAAACCTGGTCGGAGTTGTTAAGTAATGTACTCAAGGTCAGTCAGCCCATTGGGGCAGAGCTCGGGCTGCTTTAGAGCTTCTAACCACCCCTCCCTCTGCCTTGCCCCTATTGGGGTGAATGTCCAGGTGCTGTATCCATAGTCCCTGCCTTCAGTGAAAAGAAAAAGAAGTTATGTGGGCTGACCAGGAGATTGACAGCCAGAGTAAGAGAAGGGAGATGGACGTTTTTCCTCAACTTTGTTACCTCCTTGCTTTGTGACCTCAGGCACATCATCACCCCATGTTCCTGTTGTAAGTCACCTGACCCGTCTGGATTTTAGAAATCCGGACAGAACTTTGATCTCCTCCAGCAATATGCAAACCCAGGTTATTGTTAAGCCATCTTTCCAGCAACATGAATGACAGAGGCCAAAGCTGCCGTCCCAGGCAGCTGGGACCAGCGCCCTGGTCAGGACGCTTGCCCAAAACTCGGCGGAGGCCGTGCCCTGCCAGAGACTGAGGTCAGTGGCCCGGGGTTCACCCGCTGCCCTCCCCTTTGCTCTCACAAAGCCTGTTATGTGGTGGGCGAACTCAGAAGGGGAAATAAATCGGAAGCCTGCTCACTACTGGCAAGTGCCCAGAAAGGGCAGCTAGTTCAAGTCTGACCTTTTGCCCTTTGGAAAGGGGGTTGGGGAGCCACAGCATGGCTCTGTACCCTGTCCCCACAGCTGGCCTCGGGGGCTCTGCTTGCATGGACTTGTTCCCATGGGAAGGAGAGCTGTTAGGTGGGGAGAGGGGCCTGGGGCAGGTGGGCTTTAAAGCACACTGGGAAGGAAAGGTAAGTGAGGCCTGGTGAGGTGACATGGTGTGAATCAGAGATGCCAGTCAGCACTTGGCAGCTCTGGATTTTGGGCCAGCCCCTGCCAGGCCTGGTAACCCTGGACAG